ATAATAAAATATACTTAGATATATAAGAAGTATAATATATTATATTATTATTTATTCCCAGTCTTATTAATTCGCTACGTTACCACATGTATATCTTGTGCAGTTTGCCCAGGGCCACCACTTTCCTCAGTCTTTATAGCAGCATTTTTACCAGCCGCAGCTACATGTATTTCTTGCCCCTCCTCCTTGTTTTTCTCAGGTCGTTCCCGTTGCTTGATTTTAGAGTCTTCGTGTCCTTCCGGGGTCTTTAGTTTCCCGCTACTACCAGGATTGAGGAAGCGTTCAGGGACGCCACGTGCTGCGTGCTTCGGGTTTCCCACCCATGCACCGAGGATGCGACTCCATTGGTAGTCGCCGTTGCTAAGCCGCTGGATCTCTTTGTATGCGAACATGTTGTAGAACGGGAGATTGGTTTTGGGATCCCGATAGCGTGCTGGGTTATTTGTGATGACACAGATTGGTGCAGGTGTAGGCTCTGTTGAAATAGTCTGTTAGTTGTTGGCGCTGGGTCAACTGGACGCTGCGTGTGTAACTCAACGGGGCTGTCTTACTGGCGAGTTTGGTCATTTTGCGGCCAAACAGAATCTGGGTCTGAATATTCTTATCACGTATGGCATTCCCATCAAAATTTTGGTAGATAATGCCGTTCCTTGTTGCGTTCATATCGCGAGGGACCTCAGGTACGTCTGGGGCCTCGGACTCTATTGGACTTCCCGACTTGCTTTTATGCGCTGCTTGATGTCGGGCAGGTTGAAGGTCGGAGTCGGCCGGTATTGTTGGCTTTGCATCAACCTCCTTGACTGTTGCGGTTGCGGTTGCTGAAGATGCGGATCGTCCTGCCACCGTCGTTGTTTCCACGGCCTGGACGGACGGTGGTGTGAGTGTGGACTGGATTGTATTAGGGAGTGCTAGCACGTTCGATTTGGGTGCAGCATGGACTGGCGAGGGTACGTTCACGTCGATTCCTGGCGGCGGGACGAGCATTGGAGCGGCCAGGACGCTCGATGGCCTGGCTTCCGGAGGGCGCGTTGGACCAGCCGTAGCAGCCAAGGAGCTTGCAAGTGGAGGAGGCGGAGGCGCTGCCAGTCCGCTTGGGCGATTTGATGGCGACACTGTAGAAATTTGAATGGAGGCAGGAGAGTAAGAGGGGGTTGGAGTAGGAGCAGAAGCCGGAGGTTGTGGCACAGTTGAATCTGTCGAAGCGACGGTCTCTTCCTTGAGAATAGGTGTTGAAGCTGTGGGGGATTCCCCCGAGGATTTGGTTGATCCCCCAACGATAATGACTTTTTCCTGTGCATTTAAAGCTGCATCGTCTGTGATTTCGGGCTTTGCGCCCATAGGCTCATTGTTTGGCTCTTTGCCTGATACCTCCCTGCTTGCTGATGCATCGTCCGCAGCTGGGGCCGGCGATGCTTCTGTAGGCGTCGGCAAATTCACAGCCTCGGTTGTACCTGCATCGGCCATTGGTGGTACGTAAGGCTTGTTATCTTTGGCTATTGCGCTGCCGCTTTCCATGTTCCTGTCGTCGCTTATTGCTGGTTTATCTATCGTGGAATTCCCGACAGCCTTGGGTGTCTCTGAATTTTCATCTTCAGCTCTGATAGCACCTTGGAGATTGCCTTTATCTGTCGATTTGGAGACTTTCTTCTCGTCAGTCTTCCCGCCATCCTTGTCCTTTCCCTTTCCCTTTGCGGTCTTGTCCACCTTTTCTCTCTTCTTTTTGGGCTTCTCTTCCACCTCAGTTACATATGGACGCAGCGACCGCAATTCGACATCATCCCATTGGCCTCTTCCGCTCCAGAATGTAATGACTGGCCCCTTGAGCGTGCGCTGGTTCAGAGCAGCCAGTTTAGCCTTTCGCTCTTCCTCGCGCTGCTTCTCTGCCTCCTCCCAGCGATTGAGACTCTTGCTGTTGCGCTTCTCTACAATCGCAGCTTCCGCTAGCCTCTCCTCCTGCGTCATGGGAGGTTTTTTCAGGGCCTCGAGTCGAGCAGCCTTCTTTTCCATTTGTGCGAGCTGCTTGAGTCTCCTCGCCTCACGTTCTGCCATTTGCTGGTGCAGCTGCTCTTTGGATATACGAGTTGTCTGTCGGGATGAGGCACGGGTAGGCAGATCCGCAGGCGACGGCAGCCATGAGGCTCGTTCTGACTTTTTTTTCGGACGTGGCGCGGGAGCTGGGACAGATGCCCTGGTCGTAGGGTCGATGCGAACCTTCTTTCTAAACTTGGCCGGGATTGCTTCTTGCGCTCTTCGTTTTCGTTGGGCAGCGCGCTTTTCTTTTGCCTGGCGCTCTAGCTCCTTTTCGCCTTCCAAGTCATCGTCGTTGGCGTTGTTGTCATCTTCGTCGTCGGATGAGGAGTCCATGTGTACGTCGGAGCCATCCTCGCCAACGTCGGAGAAGCCCTGGTCATTCTCGTCTTCGGCGAATAAAAGTTCCAGGTCTGAGTCTGGCTCTTCATTAGCAAGCATTGACTTCATACGATTTCCGGCCGTGGACCGGCGTTTTCGCGTTGTTGCAAGCCATTCTGTCTGCTGGGCCGGGGTGTCGGGGGTGTCTCTGTCCGAGCTATCGAGATCGCTGGGCGGATCGGACAGCTGCGATGTGTCCCTGTCAGATGTTCTTGATTCTGTATCCATCATAGACGGATCCTCCATGTCACCAAGGGGAGAATAATTCGTGGCTAGCTGGCTGGTGGTCGAGCCACATGCGCGTGGTGGCAACCATGTGTGGATGTTGAGTTGCAATTGAAAAGGTGCAAAAAGCGACGCGTTAGAGGGGTGACAATAAATTTATCGAGGCGGCGTTCCACTACCGCTGACATCATGGCCCACATTATGCCTGGCTGCCCGCTCAGCGCAATCAAGGAAAGTGCAACAGCAATCTCTCTTACTTTGATAGGTTTATTTTTATTGGCACTTTCCATCATGTATTTGTCGCCTTCACAAAAACCAACATCACAGAGGGAGTGGAATTCGCTAATTTGATCATAGAACTGGTGGTCTATCCGGTGCGGCCTACAGATGGAGTGCGCCGTCTTTGTTGCCTTCTAACTACAGGGCTAGCGCTGACTTCTATCGATGTCCACGATGATCCAATATATGCCAAGTATTCAAACGCCTCTCGCTAGACAAGCAAACACTCAAACGAACCAAAAAAAAACCTCTACCACGCCAAGCCAGCATGGCCAAAAACAGAACAAACTCTAAAAAATGACGAGACTGAAATCTGCAGTGCAAGACTAAGCCATCCTGCGAAACGCTGCGTGTATGTGTGTATAGTGTATATGTGTGAATGCTCCTCCTGCTTAATCAAGGAAATCCGGTGGCTCCATAACATGTTGGATTTGCAACCAGAGATCGCGCAACTCGTCAAGAGGGGAATATATGATGATAATGATCTCATCAATCTCCCATCTACGCATCCAAAATTCGAGTCCCAGGTACATCAGTCCCGGAAGAAAACACTACATCTCATCTGGGAAAAAGGCGTCTACCCCTTTGCCCCCTTCCCATTCTTTGCAGAATCCTATCCAGTTTCGACGGAGACACTTTTCCGTAGATGGAGCACTACTGGTTGGTGCAGCTGTCCATGTTGTCGATGTCGGACCCTTGGTAATGGGCGGCTGTGTACGTGTGCCCGGTAGAGGGGTTGTGGTTGTGCTAGTCTCATCCTTATCCCAACAACCCCACCACTTTCCCGGTGTTTCGCACGTGGTTGTTGGCGTATGGGTTGTTGTAGTGACATCCGAGGTTGTAGTGATAGGGTTTGTGGTGGTTGTTTTATCCTTGCACCCAAACCAGCCCGGTGTCTTGCAAGTTGATGTCGAGGACGTAGTCTTGGTACTCGTAGCCGTGACTCCTGTAGTCGTTGTATCGAGGCAACCCCACCAGCCTGGGGTCTTGCAGGTTGAAGTTCGTGTTCGCGTACGAGTCGTCGTTGTTGACGTCGATGTTGTCGTCGTCTCTGTGCCGTTGCTCTCATACATTTTCCACTGGGCACAATCTCGACATTCGGGGGTCATGGAACACTCGGGGACATCGTCATATTTCAGAATGACGTCAGAGATGACTGCTCGAATCTTGTGCGTTCCAATCCCTACACGCCATCCTTTGTCGGCAACAACATCGTAGACACACTCGCTGCCAGTGTGGCAAGTCGTCTCCAGCGCGTAACCGGCAAAGGAGCAAGACGCAGTAGCACCGTTGCAGGTGCCAATGTAGATGGGATCAGCCGTATGACCAAAGTGATACGCGCCAGTTTTTTCCCTTGTTTGAGGAGCTTTGGGATCAGAACCCGGAGGGATGGGTAAACCAAGGCGAGTCGCAGCAAGAGCCTCGGGAACAGCCTCGAACGTGACGACGGGCAAACCATACGTCAGACCTAGCAAGGAGCTGACAGCTCCACCCAATGAGTGGCCTACTACCCAAATTGTAGAATGGGGATAACGTTCAGTGACGTTGGAGTAAAGTTCGCGGGCGGCGGCGTAGTACCGGCTTTCTTCGTGCAGAGATTTGGTAACACAGGTGTTGTTGCAAGAGTACGTGCTCGTGGCGCAATCGCAAACCTGATGCCAAGTCCACTGTCCCTGCTGCGCGCAGCAACAACTAAAGAACAAGTTATCATTAATTTTGTCATTGGTCGTGGTACCATCTCCATCAAAGACGGCAGGGGTTGTTCCCTTGAGACCGATAACAATTGTTGAGTTGTCGTCGTCGGCCCAGATGTGTCCACGCAACCCATCGCTTTGCCAGCCAAAGTCTGCACTGCGGTTGAAAGGTTCACCGATGTCTAACCAATCGGCAGCGTCTTCTGTCTCGACATAGGCGTTGGCGGCCATGTAAGCTAAGCTAAGCACTGTGCCTTTATCTGTAACATCTGGCGAGGGAACATCATCAACTGTCCATGCTGAAGCATCAAGCACAGCAACATATCCCTCTTGACGTGCGTGGGCAACCATGGGGTCTACAACAGAAGGGCGTCTATCAACGAGACGCTGTATGGTGTTGCCACGACTCCTGGCACTGAGATGAGGTAGGTCATGTTCGGCATGGCCGTCTTCAGCGGCGAGAAAGACGCGTGACGACGAAAGATCGTGAGTTACATCCATGCTGCGATGGAGTCGCGGATGCCGGTCGGTACCATGATGATAGATGTGACGCAGTGTAAATGTGTGGTCGGCTGGTCGGGGAGATTCCGGATTCGATGGCGTCACGATGGCTGGAGGAAGAAAGACATCTTGACCTACGACAGCATCTCGATCGATGGGTGAAAGGTGCGAAGCAGCCGTCGGAGGAGAAACTGCCAATAAAGATAGCAGGAAGACTGCGGTAACTCTGCCGGCAGAGGTGCACCGCGCCAGCACCCGAGACGGCTCGAAATTCGATAACATGGTCAACGGCTGCCGAATCCAGCCCTGGAGGGAATCGATACCATGAGCGTATGCAAGGCCTCTCTGCAGACAAAGCTATGGATGCCACAGAGAGAAGAAAGGAGGAAGGTTGAAATGGCGGAGTCCTGCTCTGGAAAACTGGCAGAGGAAAACAGGAGCGCGAGGTGGGGGAAGTGAGGTTGTAGCAGGAGGATGAAAACGAGTGACATTCAAAGAGCGAGCGGAGTGGCGGCGATGTTGTCATGGCCCGCGGTCCCAGGTCTCGGACTTGGAAGCATGCGCAAGCGAGAGCCCGTCGTCGGCGGGGACGGGTCCGATGCAAGGGTCAACATTGAATGGTATTGTTGGGGGCGGGGATGACTAACTGCGTGTCATGATGTGACCTCGGGAGAGGCGAAGTACCGTCAGAGGGCGCTGTTCAGGGCCACTGATTCAGCATCAGCATCGCGCCAACCAGCACATGTGACCGCTATTGCGCTAGGTTGGCCGCCGGGCCCTTCCCAGATGACCACTTTGACCACTTGACCGTCTGGGCAACTGCCAATAGCAACCACGAGTGTATTACCTAAGCACATCAATTAAACAAGTGCCTCGCGACGCGCCGACCGGCGCGTGTCTCCAGATTTCCCCACGACGCAGCCAATCCGAGGCTGGTGCGCCAACATTTTGATCTCGAAGTACTGGCGAGAGTTTGACAGCTTTTGGCCGCAACGCATTTCATCCCGTCTTACTGCCATCTCTCCTTTGTGTCGAACCAGCGTCTCTGTGCACATCGCCCAAGATGACTGCAATGTGAGTAGCTCTACACCTGTTTAATTCTCAGTTCTTTCCTTGTGGGCTAGCGATCGGACCGCCTCTGCATCATGGCAGCGATACCTCGCGCGCCGTGTTTGTAGCTCGAGCTATCGTGAACTCGCACTGGCGACGCACTGCTGTCACGGCAAACCGCGCAGACATGTCTCAACTAACATTCGCTTTCTTTAGCGAGAGCTTCGACAGCATCTACCTCGACCTTTCCAGGGAGAGCGGCAAATGCAGATTTGCCGAGACGGGCTTTGGATGGAAGCCGTCCAATGGAGGTGACACCTTCACCCTAGACCAGACCAACATTGGTGGTGCGCAATGGAGCCGGGCAGCCAAGGGGTATGAAATTCGGATTTTGCAACGGAATTCCGGCATCATTCAGCTCGATGGCTTTCAACAGGAGGATTACGACCGGCTTAGCAAGGTCTTCAAGAACTGGTACAGCACCGTTCTCGAAAACAAAGAGCATGCGCTCCGTGGCTGGAATTGGGGCAAGGCCGAGTTCGCCAAGGCTGAATTGACCTTTAGTGTGCAAAACAAGCCGGCCTTTGAGCTTCCTTACTCGGAGATTGGCAATACCAACTTGGCTGGTCGCAACGAGGTCGCCGTCGAAATGTCCCTGCCCCAGGACTCAAATGACACAGGCACCAATGGTCAGCTTGGTGGCGCTCGCGGCAAAGGCAAGAAGGCCGGTGGTGGCAGAGACCAGCTCGTGGAAATGCGGTTTTATATTCCTGGCACTACCACTGCCAAGAAGGAAGCTGATGGTGACGACGCCGAGGAGGAGGAAGCCGAGGAGAAGAATGCCGCCACCCTCTTCTACGACACCCTCATCGAGAAGGCTGAGATTGGAGAGACTGCTGGCGATACTATCGCCACTTTCCTCGACGTGCTTCATCTTACTCCGAGGTATGATGTCATGAGCCCCCGGCACCCTAAGAAGCGTCTACCTGTCTTGACCCTGATTTGCTAACATGTCCTTCGGCAGAGGTCGTTTCGATATCGACATGTATGAAGCTTCATTCCGACTCCGCGGAAAGACGTACGATTATAAGATCCAATACGAGGCTATCAAGAAATTCATGGTTCTTCCCAAGCCTGACGAGATGCACTGCATGCTGTGTATCGGCTTAGACCCTCCACTACGTCAGGGTCAGACACGATACCCATTTGTTGTCATGCAATTCAAGAAGGACGAGGAGGTTACCATTGACTTGAACCTCGAGGAGTCAGAATTGCAATCCAAGTACAAAGACAAGCTGGAGCCGCACTACGAGGAGCCATTGCACCACGTTGTTGCCAAGATCTTCCGTGGTCTGGCCAATAAGAAGATTTCATCACCAGCCAAAGACTTTATCACGTACGTACCTTGGATTATTATTCAAGCCTCACATGTACCCGGCAATTTTTTTTTTTCTCCTTTTGGACTGTCGCTCACTAATCATGTTTGTTACCCGTCTCTAGTCACCGAAGTCAGTACGGTATCAAGTGCTCCATTAAAGCCAGCGAGGGATTCCTGTATTGCCTGGAAAAGGCCTTCATGTTCGTGCCCAAGCCGGCCACGTACATTGCCTACGAACAAACACAATCCGTTACGTTCTCCCGAGTGGGTGGTGCCGTCTCCACCCTATCTACCTTTGATATCACCGTTGTGATGAAGAATGGCGCCGGGTCGTCGCAGTTCAGCAACATTAACAGAGAAGACCTCAAGGCTCTGGAGACATTCTTCAAGCTCAAGGGTCTGCGTGTCAAGAATGAAATCGATGAAGATGCCAACATGCTTGCCGCCGCCCTCCGCGAACAGGACATGGACGACTCAGACGATGAAGTTGTCGCCAACAAGGCGGACCGTGGCTCAGCCGATGAGGATGAAGAAAGCGTGGATGAAGATTTCCAGGCTGACAGTGACAGTGATGTGGCTGAGGAGTATGATAGTGCACATGAGAGCTCAGGCTCTGGCAGTGCTGAGAGCGATGTTGATGCCGATGAAGCGGATGAAGACGAGGACGAGGAAGCCGAGGCGGAACGCCCCAAAAAGAAGAAGAAGACTGGTTAGAATGACCACGGAATCGTAGGAGTTTATGAACATAGGGACTAAGACACCAGGGCATCGGGAGGGAACATATACTGGTGCAGGAGAAAAGCCTTCAAAACTGGGCAGTTGTGTTGCTGTGAGGAGTGGCGTTATCTCACATTGGCTTCCTTCACTTCAATCCGGCTTCAGTTCTTGATGGTAGGTAATTGTTAGATGACAGGGGAGGTGACATTGTGTACAAGTACTTTTTTGAGAGGACGGTTGGGCGGCGTCAACAACCCGACTAGCGGGTTCACCGGAGAGATGATTTACAACGGATCCATCATTTCATAACCATCTTTTTTTGTGATGCCGTAAACTGCCTTTCATGATGAGACCACCTGCTTTCTTTTCGAACTATCGATTTTGAGATTAAGCCGTAAAACATTCACATGTTTGATTTCCTAACGAGTACCTACCTAGGTACCTTGAGTAGGTCGGTAGGTACTAGCAGACTTAGCCAAATATGCTTAAACACTGGTCACTTCAGTGAAAAAAGTGGTTGGAATTTTGTTTTATTGAACAAGGTCATTCCCTCCATCGCAATTTTTGCCCAGAAAGTCTAGTATCATCTTTCCAGCTGTATTCCACACTCGCCCAGAAACAGCCAATGTTTACCTGCTACCTAGCAGGTAGGAGGTAGTTGCCTATCGGCAAGCCAAGAAATTCTCCAGTCAGTTCTCGAAACAAACCCAGTCCCAGGTCCAGTAACACACACACACACACACAAGGGAAATTTGTTTTGTATAGTCCAACTTTTCGATACCGCCATTCCTTGTCAAGAAAATCTTTCCCGCATACATCGAACCGTGTCTCGCGGAGACAAATTTTGATATTCTAAAAAAAAAAAATGAAATGAGTCGTTACCGTTGAGGAACCTAGCCTCAGAGAGCTCATGCATATATGGTAGAACACACAAGATAAACAAACAAAATATGAAATGATCATGCGCCTCTAGTAAATTCTCAGCTCCAAACAACGAAAGTAGGTCTAATGAGCAGACTGGAAAAATAACGCTAGCGAGAGACAAAAAAGTATACATGATGAAACAAACAACACAACTGTCGCCACACATCTACCATGGTGTAGCAAAGCAATTGTCATAAGGGTTGCACTGCCCTAAAGCAAGACAGAGTTCCACACGTTCATGGGTGAACTAATTCAAATGTGTTCCCCTGTGGCTTTCATATATGTTCGTGGGAACAGTGCATACTGTCCCACCGGGGGAGGAGATTGGACGGGCAAACTTGTGGTCTTGGCCCTCGGACGTTTCGGCTTAACACTCTCTTCCAGCGGAGGTGCATCGTCGCGAACCTGAGACTCGCTAGCATGGCTCTTGTGATAATATTTCTTGAGCCCATTCGACGGAGGAAATGGAATCATGTCAGGGACATGGTCTTGAGCCGCTGGATATGTGCCAGCCCACTCTGATCCATCCTGATCGTGGTCTGGGGGTTGAGCTGAAGGGAGTGGTTCAGAGTCATCAGTCAGTGATCCCGCCATCTTATTGAGCGAGGTGGTACTGGCGGTACGCCGAGCAAGCGTAGTCCAAGACGAGTTAGTCGATCTATATTGTCTTCCGGTAGAGTTTGAGCGAGATGTAGAATTAGTCGAGGTGCTGGAACGTTGATCAAGCAATGGAGATGATCCGTTAACTCCTACCGATGAGTTCGTATCTTCATGCAAGGCCGACTGTTCAAAGTGTCCGCCAACAAGATCACAATCGGAGTAGGCCTGTTTTTCAGTGTCGTCACTTAGAAGCATGGGTTGTTGTTGATAATCCACAGGGATGAGGAATGAAGGAGACAGCGTAAATGTCTGAGATTCCCTAAATGTGGCAAGGCCAGAGCTGTGTCGGGGTTCCTTCATATTGAGGGAACGAATACTCTTTTTGTCACCCCTCGGTAAAGAAAAGTTGTTTGTAACAGCGGAATTTGGTGTGACTACCTCATGCTCCACGGGAGTTGATGTATGGCTAGCTGGGCTGAGAGATGATGCTTCTTGCCATACGAGGGATAGAGAACCATGACTTTCGGCAGACAAACTTCCGTTAGATGCAGGCTCAATCCCGTTGTCATCCAGTGCCACTAGCTTTGCGGGGGGCGTCAAGCTGTCTCTGGCAGTATCCAGTGACGGACGATCCCATTGGTAGTCACAGTTGGCTTCTGCCTCATGTTCATAGCAATAGTCTATGAGATCCTCCCAGCTCTCTCTTGTTGGTGTCCTTGGCTGGACCAGACTTTGGTGATCATCATCATCAACGATATGATCCAGGCCCATGATACCCAGGCCTCCGAGGGTTTCAGAAACTACACTTGTTGGCCTTCGAGATTCGGCAAGCGATCGCAACATTGGAACAGATTGGCTGCCGCGGAGAGAAGAATTATTGCTTGCAAGGCTAAGCCTTGATCGTCTTGACATGCCGTGCTGCTCTTCTTCCTCGGGGACATCAGGGAGCGTTTCGTACGATGCTGGCGTTGAAATTGCCAGAGGCCAAGTAGAATCCCGAGCACCCAGCATAACACGAGAGTATCGCGTTTCGTCAGGTGGGGATTGTTCTTGCGTCTGACTATAGCTGTGCTCATGAGAGTTTAAATCGTCGATTATGCATTCAGGAGAAGTCGCATAACCGAAAGGAAATGGTTGGCAGAATTCGTTAGTTGTCTGAGCCCGGGCAGCTGCATTCATGTTGATGACGTCTGTGATATCTTGGTAGCTGGATTGTCGGCTGGAACCCCGGGGAGGTGGCAGAGACCCAAGCGTACAGAAGCCATTGGCTTGTATTGGGGATCTAGGGGGTCGAGGAGGGGGCTGTGACGGGGTTTTTCGAAGCCGTTCTTGTGATCGAATATGCTGTAGAAGCCGTCGAGGCCCGGAGGCGGGGGCAGTATGGCGAGGTACTAGGGGCGGACGAGAGATAGCGCCAGAGGTTTGCTCTTGGTACACTTCACCAATAGATTCCCATGACATATTTCGTGAATAAGAGCTTGTCTCGAATCCGCCGGTTAAGGCGTCGTTCAACGTCTCCGGACCGTTGACATGAAGATCGTTGTTGACGACATTATCCCGCTGTGTGTGGGCGACGTGCTGAAAATTGAACGGCCCTGAAATATACGGTCGTCTCTGCGCAGTTTCATCCCGCGATGGCTTCCTTCTGGAAAAAATGGACGGGATAAATCCTTCTCGTCCTCCATGACCAATATTTTCAGAGGGCATATCTCCAGAATATATTGAGCTGGCGGAGGAGTTCTGGGTGCTGCTTTCGCGCTTGGATTTTCCTCGGCGATGAAAAAAGCTCCTTCCAAAGTTGTGTATGCTTTCGGGGCGATCTCGAGATGGGGCACTGCTATCGTTGGACCTAATCGATGATCTTCGAACGAGGGACAAGTTGTCCAGTGACAATTCCCAAGGTAGACGCTCAGCCGTATTCATAGAAGATAAGGATGACGACTCGGAAGAAGCAGTCCTGTGCCCATGGTGCCTTTGTAAATGGGATGCTCGCTTCATTTGCTTGTTGAGCAGCCGCAACTTCTGGGGAGAAGGAGGGCTATCAAGAGCAGGACCAAGGAAGTCAGCAACACTTGCGCTTGACAGCTGCTCCATGGATGACGAATCGAATGGTGTGTGAAGTTGTGAAGACGAAGTGAAAGGTCGCGGCATCTTTGGTAGTTTTGGGTCCCTTTTCGGCGCCTGGGTGGGTACCGCATCGTGGTGCCCAGAGTGCAGGGCTATTGCTCCAATACCAAACATCTTTACTTGGTGCAAGGGGTAGGAGGGTGACGATAAGATTCGTGCCTCCGAAGCTTGACAACGTGTTTGGCCCACCGTGACAAACAGAGCCTTTGCTCAGAACCGGAACTGCGATGTGATCGGCATACCACCGTGGGATGGGCGTGTTACCAGGGCAGTCCGTTGTGTGAGACTATCAACGGTCAACAGCAGGCAGGGGACCTGAAGAAGTTGTGGGGTTAAGTGACTAGCCGGAGCTAATAAGGAAGACGACGGTACATGAGAGAGATATGTAGATTGAATTTTTGGGCTGCAAATGCCACCAAAACAGGGGTATCCCAAAGGCCCAGACGGAAGCCAGCAACAAACAAAGTGTCTGGGGTGGATGGGGGCCTTGAATGGGGGCTTTGAAAACAGAGGTTGCGACTAGATGCGGTACCTCGGACCCGGGTCTGTGTTGGTCACCTCGAAGCCTGTGATATAGACGTAAGAACGGGCAATTGGACCCGGTGGTATGACCGACTGAGTTCTGATATGGCCGTGAAACGCCAGATATCAAAATAGAAATACACCAGGTTGAACTAAAAGTCTCCCTGTCGTGGCTGATTCCTCTTGACAGGCGCCGGGCTGGAAAACTCCTTGTCTGTTGGCGGATGGAGCTGTCTCCGTCGGCTTTCCCTGTTACAAGCCCCTCAAAAGCAAATCCTGAAGAAGATTGACTTTCTGTCCCATGTGCAAATACCGAACTAAGAGCGTCGTCGCCGACGCGTGCAATGGTCTGAGATGATAACCGTGGCGCTAGTAGTGTCTCTCAACGGCGAATCCAGTCAGATCTTTCATCGACAGAATGGCGGTTTCGTCAGTCGATCTCCAGTGGACCACAGACTTTGTCGGAATCCACTGCTACAGCAGCTCGGTCAACGGAACGGGGGACACCCGGTGGTAGATGGGTAGGAAGGTGTTTGTGAAGGTGGTTGAGTGCTTAAGGCATCTTGCGAAGCTGCGGCAGCATTCCTTAAGTTCTTTCCAGCGCCGGCGTCATTGTATTCAGCACTGTTGGTTCTCAAGCCACAAACGCTTCTTGTTATCAATTGAGAAAGATCTCATTTTAGCGAGCTTCCTGAACAGAATAGCGGAAGTGCCACAAGTTGGTTCGGAGGGTGCATGCTACCAACACAACAAGCTAAGCAGCGAGGATTATGGCCAAAGAGAGAGGCTTACCCTACCCGAAGCGTCGGGTCGAGGCAAAGTTA